GTTTTGCTGTCAACTACCAAAGCCAGTATGCTTGGTGCCAAGTCCCAAGGACTATCAGAACAACCTCCATCTCAATGGTTTAAAACAATAGAAATGCTTCCCCACAGTCATGAAGCCAGAAGTCCCAAACCAAGGGTGTGTATATGTTAAAGAGAGATTCACTACCCATTTCTTTTTTGTTGGGCTTCTTTTCTCTATTTTCAACATTGCCACACACTGTGTTGTGTATAAGAATCTGCCTACTATCACATTTATGTTACATTCTTGTTTATGATAAAGACTCCTGTCTGGGTATTCTCAGTTTGATTATAACATGGTGTTAGCTTTCAAAACTCTTTTGCATGTGTGCTAGTAAACCTGAGTTTCTCTACCCCAGTGGAGCCCATGTTTGCCTCAGAATTTCAAATACCCTAAGTTCTAATTTTTTAAAATAAAAAACTGAGATCAGAGACATTAATTTATTGAATCACACACAACAATAAACCCACTACTCACGCCATGTTCCCTAAGGATCTTGTAAATTCTCAGAGCTTAAAACTCTGAAAACTTAAAAGCTCGGTCATGGAGCTCAGAAATGGGAAATTGAGTTGTAGCCATAGCTGGTTCTCTCCCAGAGGCTCTGCAGAAGCATTCCCCTATTCTAGCTTCTGATAGCTGGCCCCTATCCTCAGAGTTCCTTGGTGGTAGCTCCATCACTGTCTTCATGTGTCCTTCTCTCCATCTCTTCTTTAAGAACATGCTGCTACATTTAGGATCACCATAGCCCAAAGGACCCTATCTTGGGGTCTTTACCCTAATTATATCTGCAAAGCATCTTGCTCCAAATACATCCATGTTCTGAAGTTCTGGGAGGACAAATTTTGGGGTGCAGGCACAATTCAACTGCAATGTCCTTAAAAGCAGGGAAGAAGAAATAGAAACCAAGTAAAGGCAGGTAAAATGATAGAAGTGGCAGATTAAAAACAAAAGCAAAATAATGTACATGGCTACTTTCAAGTCACAGGCATTGGTCTCAATCTCTGTAATACCTTCCCTGATGCCCCAGCTTACGAGGCTGTAATACACTGACAAAGGCACTGAAATCATCTTCAAATATGATGACCTCCAGTTAACGCGTACACCTCTGGATGTGTCTACTTGGACGAATGATTAATTGAAAGATCTCAACTGCCTATTTAGAGAAGGAAAACCTAGATGAGTGCCAGCATTCCCTGCTCTCTGCTTCCTGGTCTACCCTGCTGTGAGGAGGCAGCCTCTCCTTATACCTTGCGCACAATACACTGTAGCCTCAAACTAAGAGCCAAAATACATCCTTCCTTGAAATTGCTTCTTGGGTTGCCACTTGTGCCATGGCAACAAGAAAAGTAACACAATGTATGAGAACATTAAGATCAGAAAATACAGAGATTACAGAATACAAGTTTAAAACTTGAGTTTTTCAAAAGGAAACACATTCTTTTTGAAGCTAAAATCTTTTACAAGCAGTGGCTAAACAGCTGTTTCTTCCTAGACAATTTCAAGGATTTAAAAAATGTTTTAATTATTTCTAGATGGTTTAAAAGGTTAACAAAACTTTAAAACTAAGATTTGTTTTTTATCTCATCTTTATTCTTCAGCCAATTCTACATCTTAATAATAAATTCCTTGAAATCCCTGACTGCAAACAAAGAACAAACAGATCTGAGTCTTCAACCATCGTAGTGAACACAATTTTGGAATACACAGGATGGACCAATTTTAATGAGCTGATTTTTTTAAAAAGTCATTTGCAAACATACACACATACAAAGAAAGGATAGTTCTATGATTTTGCCTTTTTTTTTTTTTTTTGAGACAAGGGTTCATTTAGTTCAGGCTGGCCTCAAACTTGCTGTTTAATGGAGGATGGTCTTGAACTTGAATCCTCCTGCCCTCCCCTCTTAATTGCTTAGATTATAGGTGTATACCATCAAACCCAGCTTACAATTTTACCTTAGACAAAATACAAGTTGCAAAATAAAACACAAAGCACAAATTTAAGCATAATGTTAATGTCTGAAAAAGGGAGAGAACTCAGTAAATAACCACGCACTATTCACAGAAGTTGAGGGACAGTCTGGGAAACATGAGACCTAGCTGGGAAAGGGAGAACAATTTTTAAGAAACAACAGGATTCTCCTTCAACTATCTTGGATATGCTTCCTTGTTTCTTATAGTGAGGTATAGCTAGTAGTCAGAATCTTACATCACTTTTGTTACTCTAATTCCTATAGGGCCTTTTTAAAAAAATCATTAACGAAGCAAGAAAAATGGCTCAGTGAGTAAGGGCACCCACAGCCAAGCTTGATTCCTTGATACCCACCGGACGGAATGAGAGAACTGACTCCTACCAAGGTATCCCAAATGCCACACGAACACTGACATTCATACTAAACCAATAATCACAAGTACACTCTAAGAGTTTAGATTTTCTTTGGAAAATCTAAAAAGAGGGAATCTTCCCTGAGAGGCAGATCGTGCTTCAGGGCAATGACTGATTCCAGAGCTGGCACAGACAAAATACAAGATGAGCCTAAAGGCCTTGCTAGTGGTAGCAGCAGCAGTTTGAGACAGTGACTAACCACCAAAGACAAATAAACGCTGGTCCCTTAATCTGTTATTCATTAAAAACATTGTTCCCTTCTGTCCTCATCATTGAACTCAACAGTTTTGTAAGAAAGACCAGAGTAGGCCAGAATGTTTAAAGACTCGACTGTAAGCATTTTTAAAGAATGTTTAAGTTCTTGACTAGGCCTGGCAAAACAGGTGCATTTGTAATGGTCATGAAAATGACTCCAGGAAGACAGTAAATCCCTCAAGATCATGGGGTAAACAAAGACAAATACAGAGAGATTATAATGGAGAAAAAACTTCATCCCATAAAATGGTCTCAATACACCCTAATAACTAACAGAAGTCAAGTCTGCTAGAACAGATCACTGCCCTTAAAATTTACCAGTTTTGGAGGTTATAAATCTTAAAGACATTAGCTTCCTAATAGCTTTTCTGTAGATCCTGACATTTGAGTTATAGTTAATAGTTGCCTAGGTTACTTTGCAAAACCTTAAAAGCCACATGTGCTACAAATGCTGAATTTACTCAAACTTGAAGCTGATGCTTGACTAAACTGAGACAAAAAGCCCAGCATCTGTCTTCATATGGTGTCTGGCCTCTCCAGTTTTACCTCGGTCAGATCTACTTGCCTCTACATTGGTTCTAGACTCAGCGTTAAGTTGGATGATTGGAGTTAGCATTCTTATACCCCACCTTAAGTGTTTTCTCAGTAGCTCAGGTACCTAAAGCCCCTCAAGTCTTATCACAAGACCCAGACCAAATCATGACTAAGATGTTTATGCAAGATGATGATATGGCTGTGAGGGTAACTCAGCAGTTCCTAGGTTGTCAGCCACATTTTGGTCTACAAACTGCAAGGCCAGAACACTTATAGAGGAAGGAAAACAACATTTCAAGCTGCCCATGTATAATGAAAATTTATCAAACCTTAATCCCTATTTCTTATCCCCAATGAAAGCTTGAACAAAAGAAGTATCCCAATCACCTCTTTGATATGTACTTGCCCCTTTCTCTGAGAAAGGGGAAGCCCTAGTGAAGAAGCTGGCCCCTCTGGTTCATAGCATATGGGTTGGTTTCATTTCTAATGTCTCCCCACCATGAAATCCCACTGTTTGGTATTAAAAAGGGAGGGGAGGGCTTGAACCCAGGGTTAAACATGTATTCTACCATAAAGCATACCACCAGCCTCAAGGATCTTATACTGGCTCATTTTAGCAGAAGCTGGAACAATTTATGCAACAAAATACCATTTTGGAGTTAAAACAAAAAGTAATATTAATATGGAAACATGGTTGAATGAATAAGGATCAAATTTGCACATTAGAATTCCAAGTAATAAATGTAAAATGGCCCTTTCTAGAAAGTAAGCGTTAAATTTTTCCATTGAGCACTGTTTGGACTTAGTGACTTGCTTCCAGAGAACTGAAAGTGAAAAAATAGTAACTTTAAAATATACAGAGACCTGGTAGATATGCTAAGTGACCAATGTTCACATCATCAGTGATGCCAGGCTGAGAAACAAGGGAAACACATACCTTGCTAAACAACTCCAGTCCTGGTGCAATACCAAATATACCTGAATAAAGAAATGCTCTATAAAATATTTTAACCCACTATTTTAGGAAAAAAAAAAAAAAAAAAGGAAAGACCAACTGTGTGGTTAAGAAAACGAAATGACTATATGCAAGTGATCACTGAATGGGTCCAGATATAAAGACATTAGTGGAAACCTGGTAAAATATGAAATGTCCATACTTTAGCTAATGGAAATATACAGTGGAGGGTGTATCCTCTAATAAATACTAAAACACTCCAGCTGTTAAGATCATGGACAAGTCACAAGTTTGTATTCTATAACTAAGTATCTACAATTTTTTACAAAATTACAGTCACATAAATCACAGATCTTTTAACATTAGCTACCAGAAGATAAACAGAAATTGTTGTATACTGAAAGTAGACTTAACAGGGCTCATTTCTGTAATCTCAACACTGGAAAAAGGACCAATTTTCTAGGTCAATTAAAATACTGCATTAGATAACTTAAGACATAGGGAATAGAACTTATATTTTATTGCTTGAAATATAAATGTGGAATATTTACCTTCATTGTACGCCTATCACTGCACATGCTTCTAATAATAATACCAAACATTAAAGGACAAGTTAAAAGCAGTCCTTCCATGCTTTTTACCAAGTCTCCCCAGTCTTTAGTTCCTATGGTATTTCCTAGAAAAAAATTACAGTAAACTAGCCATCTTATTTATACAGTAGAATCAGTAACAAATAGCATGGTTAAGTTCTAATCGGCTATGGGTTTTCAAGTATTGGCTCTTTCAAAAAGGAATCCATTGAAATATATTTCAAGGTAACACCAAGAAGCAAGAGCTAATAAGAGCACACTTAAGTCTGGTGCAAACTTAATTTTATTAAACCTTACAATGCTGTGGCGTATTTTTCCATTTGAGACAATTTATTGGCTGGCATCTGAATACAGTACTTCTTTTAAGATACACAATGGGAATGAACAAAAGGAAGAGAAACTAGTTTAGTGATACATAAGGGGAAAAAATGAAAAAAGATGACAAGCAATTCAAGTTTCTTTAGTATCTAACTATAAAGTGGTTCAAGTTCTGAGCCACAGTGCTTGCTGGCCATGGTTAAGACTGCGTTCCCCACCCAGGCCCTGCCGGGAACTACTTACAGGGGTTAACACACCATGCATTCAGCTGAGGGCTTTGCTGGGCAATTTGATTTCAAGAAGCTAAATTTCCAAATACAACCTAAACAATTTCTCAACTTATTGTAAAGGGGTTTAAAAAAATATTACAAATTCCTTCTTTGCAAATGAGTAATCATTTAAATTCAAAATCATCAAGGGCACCAGGTTATCTTGCTGTTCTGGGCTTATGCTTGTCAGACTTAAGGACAAGAAAAAAAAATGACATTTTAAAACCTATTAATTCATTTCCCTTTGGAAAGTAGACTGGTATCTGAATAAAATAACCACTTCTTTTACAGAAATGATCAACATTATGGAACAACTAAAATTCAGAGGCATTTCTGGAGAAACATTGTTGAGACCTGAACATTAATTCCAGCCAATACTAGCATGCTACAGGGTCCAGTTTAGTTTGATTCAAATAAGTACAATTAGATCATTTCCTCACTGTAGATAAAAACCAACTTACAAACTTAATTTTATTTTACTCAGTCTTACAATTTTCTGATAAAAGCCGTGACAGTTATCTGAGGTTGCACTCCTGAACCAACTTACTCTAAAATAAAATCATGGCTAATTTTGAGCTACGTAACTGATTTTTAAGAGCTGCCAATGGCATTTCTAGAGAGGGTAAACAGAAAAGGGAGAGCCGCATCCTGATGCAATATAGCACTGCATTTTTCAAGACTAAAAACCAGTTTTAAGTTTTCTACTTTTAGTGAAGGAAGCCACTATGGAAAGACATCCTTATTTCATAAAGGGTTATGCAATTCTAGCCCACCTGTAAAACAGTGTTGTGCCTTGCTCTAAGAACATGTAAGCCAGATTCTTCTGGGAAAAGTGGAGAGGCAGATATTAAACTCCTTAAAATCAAATTTTCATCTTTTACCCAAAAAGTGAGATCAACCAATGATTCACTAAAATGGCAAGTTTTCTTTTCTTACCACCAAGAGGCAGATGATTTCAAAGTATTGCTTGCTATTTCTAGACTGTCTAAATGACATATTATTCTTACATATAGCAGCTCAAATATTTTATCAGACTTGTCCAGAGTAAGTAAAACATAGCAAAACCTCTTCATCAAAGGATTTATAGAGCCCATTGATAACTAATCTGTTTCCAATGGTAAAATGTAATTTAAAATGTAGTAAAATGAGTAAGGATACCTTTTAAAGAATTAAACTTCAATTGTTTAATGAAAAAGTCTAATGTTCTTTATTTACTACCCATTACAATTTTTTACTGAAGATGAATGTGACTGTTTGCAATTACAATTCTTTAAATAGCATTACATTAACCCTCAGAATAAAATGTCATCCCCTAAATCCAAGGGACCCAGATGAGGAAGTTCACAGGTGACTGACTTTTTTTCTAGAATCAGTAAGGAGCATGTCATTCAGAACAATTTCTCTGACATCTGCAGGGCAATGTACCATTCACTGTAAATCCTACTGAGTAATGGCAAAGTGCTGAGTGATTATTTGAATCCTTTTAATTTTCACTTCTCTTTTCTTAAGTCAAAAGAGCCCTTTCTGCAGCATTAACAAATCTAAGATGGGGGAAAAATAAAAGGAGCAGGGTTGCTGGGAGGAGGGATGGTGGCAGAGAGGGGAAAGAAGAGAGGGAGGCGCTTTCATTAAGGGGACAGAAATCACTGTGCAATCTTTTGTGTTTAATAGGGCAACAAATAATTGAGATCAAAGTAATTCATGCACGTTATCTTTAAAAGATATACATAAACTTGAAGAAAGAAAGAACACTGTTATTGACCTTTGATACTATGGCAGTAAATTGCATACTAAAATACCTTAATTATCTTAGATGCTTAGATCTGGCTTGGCAAGCATCATGCCACTGACATGCTTTAGCCTTTTTGTGACTAAAAGTGGTCTGCAGTTCAATGACTGAAGAGCTCAATGTGACTCATTAAGCTGTGTGATAAATTCTGAGGTTAAATTGAAGCAAATTCTCTATACCTAGTCACACCATCAGCACAAGCAGGACAACGCTGGAGCAGTATGAAAGGCAGGTCACTCTAGAAAGATCTTCCTTTACTGCATGATATACTAAGATGACAGACCTAAATTTCTTCAACTGGGTTAATGAGTTGTAATAGATTTGTTTCCCAAATTTAGCATAAAAAACTGTGGACTGAAGAAAAAAATCTCAGATGTGAAGATACAAAGCAAAACCAAAATAAAACATAAAATTTTTAAAAGCTTGAGTTCAAACAGCTTACCGGCAACTCTAGAAACTGACATGCTCTAAGAGTACTTCTGTGAAATGAACTTCTTAACATAAGAAAACAGTGGTTTGAGTTGAAGCTGACCACTGCTGCATAGAGAATATGCCAACACACAACAGTCCAGTTTAAGCCGGTGCATAGAGAAGATAAAGCACTTATGGTAACTGCAAATGGTGAACAAGTCCATAAGGTCTATGATCTAGCATGGATCCAAAGGTTCAGGAACCCTGTAGCAGAAATGGTTAGGGAGAAAAAAAGTGGATACGGGCAAAACTTGAAGACAGAAGAAATAGGAGCCAGGGAAGGACGACTTTCAATTGTATAAAATTCACAAACTAGTAAAGTATAAAGACATCACTGAAAAACAGTTAACTCTGTCCCAAACACCCAACAGCAAATAAAATCAGAATGGCCTTTGGCAGACAATTTTAGAAATTTGAATATGACATTACATTTCTCAATAATTCACAAACAATATATTATACGGTATATTTATATTAAATACTGGGAAACCAATCCTGAAGAGTTGATGCTTACAATGCTTTAGCCAATGAGAGCACAATGATATCAAGCTAAATGAATGCTGGTGTCATCCCAACAGTGCTCATTTATGAAACAACTGTTACCAATCGTGCTTTACCAGTGCTGAAGTACAGTCGCATTATCATCTATGAAGTGAAACAAAGGTCTCTAGCTTTTCTGGGATATTCCCTTTATAATATATTCTATGATTCACGATGACACGAGCAGCGAGACACTGCAATGTGGTATGATTTATGGGCTGGATCAAATTTTTAGCTATCTCCTTCTCGTCCAGCAAGTCACTAGCAGTTTGTTTGTGTAAGTTTGTGGCATCAAAATGTGCACCTGATTTAATAAGGAGATTCATGATGTCTGGATGGTTGTTCAAAGCAGCGATATGTAGGGGACCATTGTCATCAGAGTCTCTGACGTTCACATCAGCACCACATTCTATCAGGATCGCAGTAACTTGCAGAGATGGAAATTTACAAACAGGGTACCGCCCTACACATGTAGTATTCTTGTCCACAGCCAGATGCAGAGGGCTGAAGTTATTCTTTCCTCTTGGATGCAGCTTAAGAAACCTGTAGATGGTCTGCTTTTTGAAATGGTCTTGTTCTAGAGTACAAGGAACTTTTTCTAATAAGCAAATTAAGTGCAAAATGATGGAAAGAGCCTTATTTAACTGCAATGGGTCGGCTGGACACTGAGTCTGTTTGATAGCTCGCTCAATTTCAAGGACACTTTTACACAGTATGCCCATGAGATCATCAAATGTAACAGTAGTACCCAGCAAGCCTTTAGCCCTGTCTTGTAGCATAAAGGAGAACAGTTCTGCAAATGACAGTAAGCTGCTGGCAGTCATTGGGCTTAAAGGGTCCAAATTGCTCTGCTGCATATCCAAAGCATACTTCCATAGGTTGATGCATCGCTTAAAATTTCCAGAGTCGGCGTAGACAGCACCCCTATATCTAATGTAGTAAGAGGTATCGGGATGAGAAGGACCAAGAATGCGTTCTCTAATTAATAGAGCTTGCATTCTCATCTCATCAGGATCAGCAATAAGACCTTCTAACTCTTCTGCACTGTTTACCTCCTTGGCATAATCATAAGCCATTATTAGTGTCTGTGGAACTGGTTTACTAATTATATTAGTCCTATCACTGTACCTCATGTTCATTGCCTTTTTCCAGTATTTCAGAGCTCCAAGTAAGTCTCTTTTTTTATCTACAAATGTAGCTCCCAGAAGCTCTAAAGCATTAATACGTTCTGTCTTGCTGGTCTGAGCATGGTGGGTAAGAAAATCCACAATATTGGTGTGACCAGTCACACTTGCTGAGAGAAGAGGAGTCATTCCGTAGCCATCTTTTTCCATCTTGGCACAATACATAAGCAGCATCTTCATGATGTCCAAGCTTCCAGACTCTGCGCAATCGTGCAATGCAGTGTTACCTTAGAGAGAGGGAAAGAACACACTTTGAAGGACCAGCGCCAGGATATAATGTAACCACCCCCCCCCAAAAGTGCAGGCAGTGCCAAGCCAACCATAAGTAGGACATATTATAATTACAAAGGACAAAACAATTATCTTCAGCGCCTAATATTAGTGTCTGATACACAGCAGGAGCTGAAGAAAATACTTATTAAAACTTCTTGAACAAATAACTTGACTAACAAGTATGAAAAAGAAAACAAAACATCCAAAGTCACCAAATAAAGCTCCTTAATCAATGGCCCCTTGGCACTTTTCATTCATATTCAAATGAAAATGAATATTCTATGACTCTAAAGCATATTCTCTGAACAAAACTAGGTAAAATAAAATTCACACGCCATTTGTAGCTTTCTGGGTCAGTTTCTCCATTGATAAATGGAGAATCTGGTCTTTAAGATCTAATATTCTTCCACTTGACTTCAGTACTGGGCAAAAATTTTTTTCAAAGTTCCTGATTATCAAATGAGTTTTAACTGTTAAAGCCAAAATTTCTGACCCATTCTTGAAAACACTTCTCTCAGAGGAAAAATAAGTCCATGGAATATTTCCTATTCTTATTTAATTTTTTAAGCATTATTTTTAAATGTAGTAAATGTCCTAACACTGTCCTGTCATCCTACACATGAAAAGGCAAAAGGCAATGGCGTTACTAACAGCCTATAGAAATGTATGACATAAACATCAGATATTATATCTAGGGGTAATAATAACCATTTGATTGATATAAGAAGCAAAGTCATCAAGCAGATCTTTGGTATGATCATACATTGTTTGCATGAAGGGTCTACAATGCAAAACTCTGGGTATCTCTACTTAAAATTAACAAAGCAGACGAAAAATGCCATTCTTAAAAAGAACTACTCACAAGGTTAGCCTCAACTTGGCATCTGGAAACTTGTTCTCTATACCAGCTAAAACTTTCCCTAAAAGACAGGGGTAGCTCACTGTGCCAAACTGGCCAAACCATAGTTTATAAAGTTTATATATGTCAAACAGTTTCTGTCTAGGAGTCTGATTTTGGGATATAGTTAGGCAAAGAGGGCCTTTTGAACCCAGTCCTCAATAACAACCCTAAGTGCTGAATCTGTAGTGGGTTTCCCTATACTAAAATATTATGTGTTTTTTCATTATCGAGGAGTGCTCTTCACGAAAGGGAGAAAGCATAGAGGCCTGCACATGCCCCTTGACTTTCCCTTTATGATCTAGCTGTGTGTCATGATATCACTATAATACCATCTTACCTGTGAGTACTACTGTACAATGAGTCACCTTCTAACATCGGGGTGCTTTTGAGGGACCTCCAACATAGTGTGTACACCAGGAAGTGGTTTGCAGATGAATACTTTAAATAACAAATCTACTTTAGAATTCAAGTTGGGGGTTGAGGAGGAGAATCATGGAGGTGGGTCATTAAGCGAAGTGCTTACCACATAAGTGTGAAGGTCTGAGTCTGAACCCTCAGAAACCGTGTATATCTGGCACAGTAGTGTAAGTCTGAGATCCCAGTGTTTCTACAGCAAGATAGGAAGTGGAAACAGAATGCCAAAAACCTTGTGGGCCAACACAGTCACAGTCACACAAAACCACAGAGACCCTGCAAACACATGAGCCATGGTCTATACACACAGACACAAACACAGGCACATGCAAAGAAAAAAAATGGGCATCAATATGGCTTTGGACTGGGTGTGGTGGTACATGCTTTAATTCCAGCACTTGGGAGGCAAAGGCTGGTGGATATTTGTGAGTTCAAGGCCAGCCTAATCTATAGAGCAAGTTCTAGGAAAGCCAGGACTGTTACAAAGAAACTCTGTCTCTAAAAACAAAACAAAACAAACAAAAAGATGGCTTTGCAAGTAACAGTCCTTGCTGTCAATCCTGATGAGTTTTGTGCCTGAGTCCTACATGGCTGAAAGCGAACCCTGACTTTCTAGTTGTCCTCTCACCTCCACACGTCACGGCACACACCCACCACGTCAACTAATAAGTAAACAAACAAATAAATGACATTTTAAATGATTTTCTAAAAGCTTTTATACACAGGGACTTTGAAACATTTCATAAGTTGATCCTGTTTTCTTTCCTACAATATAAATATTATACAATTACTTAGAATCTGTTTATTCTGTCCTAGATGTCATTGATCTACAAAGTGTGGTCAACCACCCAGGGCATTCAGAGGTTCTGATCACTGTTACTAGTTTCAAATTTCAATTAACCATGACTACTATGCCAAGTACATTCAAAAATCATTTCAAATTATTCTGAAGTGAGAATTCCTACTATTTTCATTTCCCCCAAAATAGTTAAAGGTAAATAAAGATAAGTTAAAAAACAAAAATATGAACCAAAAGAAACGATTTAGGTGCCATTCTTTGATGATAAGAGGAAATAAAATCAAGAATAGGGCTGCAGCAAGTCAGTTTTAAATGAATGGAAATTCTGTATTTATTGAAAAATTAGAATGTGTATTCTGAATACATACATGTACAAAAAAAAAAAAAAATCTCGCTTACAGCCAGGCGCAGTAGCACAGGCTTGTAATCCTAGTACTCGGGGAGGCAGAGGCAGGCAGATCTCTGTTGAGTTTGAGACCAACCTGGTCTACAAAGTGAGTCCAGGAGAGCCATGGCTACACACAGAAACTCTGTCTTGAAAAAAACCAAAACAAAATGAAACAAAACAAAACAAACAAATCTGCCTTAAAAAGGGAAAAAGAGGCTTTTTATCTAGCAATGGCAGTGACAAAGCAGTCCAGTCACTCAAGACTAAGAGAGCCAGGCATGATTGCACACCTCTAATCACCACATGGAAAGTAGAGAAAACAATATGGTATCTCAAAAAACAAACAAAAGAAAATCAAATTTAATACAATAACTGAGGATACAGATGTACATATCTGATATCTGTATCAAATACAGATACTACTTGGAGGATGAGACTGTTATAGTACAGATCAAATCATGTGTGTGTTCATTATGTGTGCACAAGCATGTGTGCCTGTGTGTGGAAGCCACAGGGGCCTTCATTCAGGTGTTGTGATAGTTAATCTTGGTTGTCATTTAGTTGGACCTAGAATCAACATGCCTCTGGGTATGTCTGTTTAAGTATTCAGGAAGGTCTATGTGAGGAAGTCAGGATCCCCACACCATCGCTGAGTGGACAGCACCTTCTGGCATCCCAGCTATAAGAAGGGGGAGGAGACAGCAGACTGCTTTTGCTGCTTACTTCCACCCCTCCTTGCTCGTGAGTACAATCTGCACTCTGTCTTGTTACTACTGCCAGCCTGATACCAGAACCTAGCTTCTTCAGCCTTCCATGATGGACTAAGACCGGTGGCTCTCCCAAGATTCCTCCAGACCTTCATTTCTAGAAGAGAACTCCAGCAGCAATCAAGCTCCATGGCCTGAGCAACTACCAACTGCTCTTCACACTAAGACCACTGTTGAACTACCCTGCCTGTCCTGTATAAGCCAATCTGATGAGTCCCCTTGATGTGTTTTTCTTTTCTCTTCTTGGTTTTCATAAAATGTATTTATAGTATAATCTTCATTAGCTTGAGGAATTTCTCAAACTCTCTCCTTAAATATGCTGACCTTTTGGCATTATTCCCTTTTTCTTTTGTAATCCTTTTCCATCTGTGATTTTTCTCTCTGTATTTTCATCTGACCCACCTTTTAGTTCATGAATTCTCTAGTCTACTGTGAGTAATCCATTTTTAAAAGCCACCCACTAAATTTGGTGGTTTTTGTTTGTTTTCAGCTTTCATCTTTCCCTTGAATTTTCAATTTAAAAAAAAAAATCTCTGAATATGCTAAACCTAACTTGAAAATGTATGTTAATAACTATTCACTTAATGTCTTCCTGGGCTTTTTCATAGGCTCTTCTGGTTTGGATGTTGTGTTTTCTCTCCTGTGTATTATATGATGACTACAAACAATGATCTGAGGGAGCTAGGGAGAATGTTCAGTTGATAAAGTGCTTTCCTTGCAAGCAAGGAAAAGAGTTTGATGTGAAGAACCTTACATAAAGAAGGCTCACTTGTACTCACCTGCAAACCCAGCACTAGGGAGGAGGAGACAAGTAGCCAGTTAGCCCAGCCCAGCCTACTGGACCTCTTCAAAGCTAAGGATAGACCTTGTCTCCAAAAATAAGTGGAAGGTTCAATAAGGGAGTGTGTGGGTGTGAGTGAGTGAGTGAGTGAGTGAGTGTGTGTGTGTGTGTGTGTGAAAACTAAGGTTAAAGAGAGAAGCATCAATTAGACCAGACAGTTCTCATTCATTCTCTGCTAGAAAGCAACAAGATCAACAGCAGCAAAGTGCCACTATGAACAGAAGCTGAGACATAGAATCTCAGTGAAAATCACTAACAGAAAAGAACTCCCGGGCTGGAATTCCAGATCCACATCATGGATACATAAAAATAACAAACACTATCAACTCAAAAAGAAAACCAAAATACTTATTACGAGGGAGTCTAAGTATCTTAGAGTACTTTTTAGCAGAAGAAACATGGAAACCAAAGGCATGGGCAGAAATACATAAAAAGGAAAAATCTGTGGGTAAATTTAAATACATATTAACTTTCTCAACAATATCTTGTGAGCTTGAAATAGTACATATGGAAGTGAAATACTTGGCAGCAGTGCTATAGAAAAAAAGAACAACTGCAGCTAGAATGCCCTAAGGTCTCACTGCTGGGAATGAAGTAAAAATATATGCCAAAGTCATATTAAACAAGGGTAACCACTACAAAAATAGTTCACAGATATATATACAATTATAGTTTTTTTTCCTAAAAAAGAGGAAAAGAAAAAGGATAACCCAAAGAGCAAAAACAAAAACACCCACAAAATAAACAACAAATAAGCAAGAAACAAACACAAACAGGTAGAACCTAAAGGGAACCAGATGAAAATCAAGCTACAAGAATATATGCTACAGAGGAAGACAATGCA